ATGGCTGGCTGGGGAATTCTGGGAGTTGAAGTCCACACGTCTTAAAGTTGCCAAGTTTGAGAAACACTGATCTAGATTCTATAAGTCCTCTTAGAAAATCAAAATTATGAGTGACTGCCAAGGCTTTGTTTGAAAGTGTGCCCACTTGCCAAGAAAAAGGAGAAATGTACACAGAGGTTCTTGAGAAATGACCCATTAAAAATGGCTCTCTTGTGTCAGGCTAGAGCCCATCCTAGTTTCGTATTTTTGGCCAACCAGATGTCTCTAGGGGCCTTCCAAGGAAGAGATGAAGACCTTACTCTCTCCAGTTGTACCACTCATACCAGGTACTTAAACACATAGCAGTGGTGTCAAAACCAGCAAGATGGTGGACGGAGCATTGTGATGCTCCGTCCACCATCTTCTCAATTTCAACCTCTGCTACAGATGCCCATGGAGGCACACTGGTCCAACCTCGTAATTTAACGCGAGCTCTTCACAGTCACTTTTCATTTCTCCAACCTAGTTTGGTAGCATCTGCAATCTTGGCCACCCTACTGTTTCTTCCTGAAACAAACATAATTTATGAACAAATTAAAAAGCGCCTGATTCAACCCATATCGTTGTTGTTGAGTTGTTAAGTCGTGTCCGACTCTTCGTGACCCCATGAACCATATTGCGCCAGGCCTTCCTGTCCTTTGCTGCCTCCCGGAGTTTGCTCAATTTCACGTTCATTGCTTCGGTGATGCTCTCTAACCCTCTCATCCTTCTTCCACCAAGGCAGAGCTCATATATTCCTGTTTTCTCTCTGTGGTTGAACCAACTAGCAATCCATAAAGGGACAAGTCCATTTATTCCCACGATGGCAAAGCTTACTCAAGAGCCTTTGCTGATCAACTTTAATGACGTTTTCTCTCTCCCAAGTAAAATTTCCTGTCCTTTTGTTATCCTGTAAACTCAGTGATTTCCAGTAATATCTTATTGCCAAGTGGAGGTCTCCACGGGGGTGGGGTGGGGGACCTATGTGTGGATTTTCAAGGGAAGCTATGGATGAAGCCAAACCTCAGGCCATTGCAACCCATCGTTTGCCCCTTTTGTAGGTCTGTTGTGTGTTCAAAAGGGCCTTGCAATGTAGCACTTGCTTTATCCTCTGTGCCCCTGTAGAAACTTGGACTTGGTAGTCACATCTGCACCTCCATCTATTCAAGAAGTTTATTCATGCAAAAATGAATCGGGGATAACAACACATTCATTTCTGCATCAGTAGGCCATACACAGTCCTAGTATTGCTGCAAATAAACCTTCTCAATAGCGAATGATCTCCCCATGTTTCCTTTTTAAAAAAAACAAACCATAAAACTCAATCAAGGAAGCTTTTGATGACTAACACCTCCCCAAGAATTTATGTTCTAGTTAGTGAAAGCCACCCACAAACAATTTACAGTAGGGATTTTTTTTATGTACTGAAATGTAAAATGAAATGTTCATATTATGATAGCAGTGTTTTTAAGTGAAACAAACAAAAATCTACTTTGGATTCTAATAGAGCTTTATCTGTAGCATATATATGTCATCTAACCAAATCTTAGTTTTTACAGCACAAAAGGGTGTAAATAATAATGAAAAAAAAAACCTTAAATAACTGTCTTTTTTATTAAAAAAAAAGATCCCCTTGCAACATTCATTCTTTTACTAGGAATTTTATCGTAAAAAGAGCAAAGCTGAATGGAACACGTGGGCCTGCATTTGTGAGAGAGATAATATATTTGTTATATAAAGATATATAGATATATAAATATTCAGCATGCAACACTTGTAGTGATGTCCCAATTTTGATTATTATTATTTTTTCTTAAAACAAAACACAACAGAACAAAACACCAGCCAATCTTCTGGATGAAAAATAACCCTTTCTTTAGCAGCCTTGATGATAGGAAAAGATTTTTTTTCCTCCCCCCCACCCCAAAGTCTCCCCACTTTCTGTCCTGGTTACTGACTTGTTCATTCCCAGATCCCCATGAAAGGGTGGGCTGAAGCACTTTGGGTGACTAGGAAATAAATGGTAAAAGTTTGAATTCTTAAGAAGCTCAAAAGTTGCTTAGATCATGTTTTAATTTTCCTTCTTCTTTAATTCTTTTTTAGAAGCCAGGAATAAGTGTTATTCCAACCAAACTACCATACATTGGATGTGGTGGAAATTATTATTTGTTTTGTATGGTTTTGTGACCATTGAAGACCTCCACTACATGTGTATGGAATCAGTCAGCTGAATCCACTCTGTGCAATAGGGGGTCAAAAAAGTCAAGATGGCGCTCATACCCATGACTGAAGTTCCGCCCCCTTTTGATATGCAACACACATCAGAAAGGGGTGGAGCTCCAGTCACACTGTTGCAGCCACCATCTTGATTTTTTTTAGCTTCCCCCGCCCAGGATGTCCCTGGCCATTCCTTAATGTCAAGGAGTTAGCAGTTGGATTCACACAACACACAACCACAATGTTCTTGGCTTGTTTGCAGAATAGGGTGACATGAACCCAGCCTGTATGGCTTGTAAACCAGAGTTTATAGCTTAAAACATTGTGTAAACCCATCCATGGTTTATTAAGTTAACCATAGTTAAATGAATTAAGGCTTAACGTATTATGGGAACACAGTTGCTAGTACTGACTTTGATGACACCCTGTTCTGACTTAAAGTAAGGTAATTTGTCCTCTGAGGCTCTTCTTGGTAGGAACCATTTCTCAGTACTTCCCCGTTAAAAAAAAATTCCCTGCAGAAAAAAAAGGGGGGGGGGACAGTCCTTCAGGCAAAAGCATCTAAGTCGGTTCCCTGCGGTGCTAGCTTTCTAGTTACGGGGAGTTTTGAAAATGCCATCATGGTCAGAATTTGAAAGTGTTTGCCGTATGGTTAATCCTTGGCAAGAAAGAGAGAAGGTTAAACACGTTAAGTATTTAAACAAATTCCCCTATGTATTATCTGGTCTGTCCATGAAACCCTTGTTAAGTGTTCTTGGCAATTTATTATTTGCAGTGACGGCTTGCCTTTTCTGCATCTTGCACAGGAAAGGGGATCTAAACTGAGCTACAGATGACAGAACAAGGCTGGAGATCTGATGCAGGTCTCCCACACTTAGTAACAAACCTGAGTTTTTGCTTAGGCGTCATTGCACACTTCGCTGAAAGAGCTATAGCCATGTAATATCTCAGAGCGCGAGGTTCAAAATTCACAGCTTCTGTATTTACAGTTAGCTTGAATAATTGTCTGCGGTTCTCTGACGAGCTTCAGGATTAAGAGACGGATGAAGAGACGTGGCTTGGACAGGGGAGTTGCCCAAGGGCTGTAATTCCATTCTCCGCAATCCGATTTCCACCCAAGGAAATCAGAAGAATATGACCTTGTATCCTTCATTCACCTGGCTTTATCCAGGACAATTTAGCATCTCTAGAATTTGCTTCCTAATAACTGCAGAAAAACGCCAGGGCTAATTTATATCCCAATTTGCCCCTGCGAATGCAAAAGGCAAATTCCTGCAGTCAACACATCGAGTTCTTTTTAACACAGCTGGGCCTATGTTTAATCCAGGGGTTTGGGGGGGGAACAGATCTGGCATTTGGGCTACTTGTACTGCAAAATTTGAGGTGAACACTTCAACACTTTTAAGAGCACCCCCATTTAAAACACCCTCTCCCTCTCCTTTTACACGGCTTAGGGTTAAGCATGAATGGACTTGATTGCAGCTAAGGGGTCTTCTGTCTGTCCCTCAAACCAAGGGCATCGGGTGGGGTGGGGTCAAAAAAGTCAAGATGGCAGCACTGACTGTGTTGGAAGCCCCTTTTCACATGCAGGCATCTGTGCCTTAAACTCTCCAACTCAAACCATTGGGGGTTGTTTCTGCAAAGTCACGCTTTCAGCTTGTAATTTCTCCCCTTGCTAACCGTTCTGATTAGCAGCAGGTGGAAGTCACCAGCAGACAATCTGGTAAGTTTGAAACGAACCTAGCAAAAGTTGGGGAATCATCGGTCACAACTAGACATTTTCGTGCCCAGGGATATATCACGTGAGCGTGTTGCACCAACAGGCTTAAGGGGAGAGGAAGCGTTTACTGAGCATTCGCCCTGCCACAAGGTCCAGGAAGAGTGCGAAGCTTCAGCACGCACGGCAGCTGGTTTTCGGGGTGGAAGCAGGAAGATAAAAACAGCTGTTTTTGTTCTGTGGAGAGAGCGAAAACTCTTCCAGCAGGAGAACAGCAAAACCCATTCCAACTTTGCAATCAGTGGTGTTTGGTGCAAAGCTGGTCCTTGCTTGTATTTTGCTGATAAGGGACAATGGCCAGAGAGCAAACTGGCTGCAGCAGGAAAAAAATACATATATTTTTTGCTATCCTCTCATTGGATTAAAAAAAAAAACCACACATCTGGGAAAACAAGTTATGTCAGTTGACTTTCCCTGGCTAGAGTGAAGACCCCTGTTTTGGGAGATAATCCAATACTCTTTTAAGTGTTTCAGGAACTGAGTGAGGGATGCGTCTCCCCAGGAGGCAAATGTCCGACTGGATCACGGGGACCAGGAGATCCATGCTGCTGAGCCGAACCTCTTCCACTGAACTAGCCCCCGCCCCACCCCTCTGACAGAGCTCCCCTTGTGTTGCACAGAGTGTTCCCAAACCGCAAAGGAAGCGCAGGTCCGTGTAGATGCTGTGGAAGTGCAAGACATCCGTGGATATTCACGCCGCGTTAACCGTCCCGGAGCGGCGAATCTCCTCGCAGGACATTTGCCATCACCCGTCAGTCCAGTTGTCCACTGTGGCCCCTCCCGAATGATACTGCAAAGAGGGTTCCCTCGACAGGGAGAAAGTCTGCGAGTACAGGAATTCGTTGGCCGCGCTCAGGTGGGGCGACGGGAGCTTCCTCTCGCCCATCCGCTCCCTGGGGAAGGATGCTCCAGGAATCCTCTCCCGCGCGGGGGCTTGCGAGAGCTGATTGTAGACCGAGAAAGGGCTGTTGCCCGGCGGCTGGGCGCCTTGGCTGCCCATGGGAGGGAGCCGTGGCATCACTGTGGTGGCCGTGAAGTGAGCCGGGAAGGGCTGGTACGGGACAGTCTCCATGGTCTGGACGCTGTAACTGGTGTAAGGTGCAACCGAGGTCCACATATTG